CTTCCCACCGATGTGAATGAACTTCAGTGCCCCCAGAGCAGTCGCCCAAAAATCATCAAAATGGCAAGTTTTATGCCATGTATGTTTTACCACAATTGAAAAGTAAAAATCGCCCAAAAAAGTTGGAAAAGGGAGCTGGAGCCCTGACCAGGTGGCTCAGTTGGTTGGAGCGTCATCAGAGACACCAAAAGGTTGTGGGTTCGATCCCTGGTCGGGGCACATACCGGAGGCAACTGATCAATGTTTCTCTCTCTAGAAAATCAATTTAAAAACCACATGTATCCTTGGGTGAGGATTGTTTTTAAAAAAGTGAGCTAAATTAAAGAAAACTATGAAGTAAATCATAGCCCTGGAGGCTCCCAGCTCGGGCTCCAGTCAGAGACATGGGGCGTGGATGGCGGGTGCTGGGAAAGGCTGGGTTTGGACCTGAGCACAGGCTCAGTTTGTTTGCCGACTCTGGAGCCAGGCTGCCTGGGGTTGAGTCCAGCTCTCACACTGGCTGCTGTGTGACCTCGGGCAAGTGATTTCACCTCTCTGAGCCTCAGTTTCCTCATCTGTAAAGTGGGAATGATACCAGCACACCCTGCAGAGAGTGGGTTTTCTAACCAAGCAGAGTGAGTGCTGGCCAAGTGCTTGTTAAACAAACAGGCTCCTCGGGGAAGCCAGGCGGCACCCCGCCTCGCCCACGGGCCACCCTCAACCCGGAGAAACCCCCACCTCCCTGCGGCCCCCAGGTCAGGGGCCACTGCCGGCTCCAAGCTGCTCCCCGAATCTCAGCGTCCCAGCCGGGCCCTGCCTGGCGACGGGAGTATGACACACACAGCAGCAGTGACACCCTCCAGTCCAGCGCTGACGAGAGCCAGGTTCTGGGCTGGAAGCTGGTTCTCTTCGCAGCTTCACAACCCCCTGAGAGGCGGCTCCAGCCAAGGCCCTTTCCTCAGATGCACAAACCAAGGTCCGAGGAGCTTGTCCGGGACACGGTTCCAGCCGCTTGGCTTCCCTGCGAGGCCCCGGCCTTAATTCCTCCACCACCTGGCTTATCTCCCGCCTGCCGGCTCCGCTCCGGGCTGGGGCCTCGCCCTGCTCGGTCCCCCCCCCCCNCCCAACCCTGAGCCGGGGCCTCCCCGCGACAGGTGCTCAGGGAACCCCGGTGAATTGAAAACAGCCCTCCGGAGACTACAAGAAATCAGTACGGAAATGACCCATGACCTGTTCCTGTGCAGAGGACCAGTGACGGTGGGGGCAGGGGGCAGGTGACACTCCGGGCTGGGCTGCTGCAGGTGGTGCCGAGGGAGCCTTTTCGGCTCCGCGACACTCAGCTTGTCCAGTCAGTTCTGGCCCCTGACAGGCCCCTGAGCAGCAGCGGGGAGCCGTGGACACTCGGGTGCTACTGGTGGTGGCCCCAAGTCACGTGCAAGTTCACAGTCTCCAGGAGGCCCCGGGGTCCAGGAGGGCTGAGCCTGTGCCCCCAGCGGGCCGGCCTCACCCCGCGAGGCCTATTTTAAACCCGACCTCGGGGCGAGCGCTGGCCCCCGCCTCGCCGGGAGCTGCCGTCTCTCCCCCCCGCCCGCCTCCCCAAAAGGGAAACCATGATTATAAGCATCGTGTGGCGTGATTGCTGTGTCCGTAATGATGGCTGTGGCTGCGATGACAAGGCGTGTCACCTCCCCGCGCCAGTCCGCTTGCCCCAGTCTGCTTTCGCCATAAACATCCCCTGGCACAGGCAGGCCGCTCCTGCCCGCCTCGCGGGGCTCCATCTCCTCCCAGGGCACTGTCCCCGCTCGGGCCACGTGGGAGCCCCGACTCTCCCTGGCCTGGCATCCCTCTCGCCCGGCAACACTGACCAAAATAGCAGCCGAAACCAGTCTTGGTAAAAACGAGCCGGTTTGGGAATTTACTGAAATATCCTTTCAAACTGGAGAGAGGGAACGATCGCTCAGCCGGCCTCCGTCTACCACCGGCCCTTGCACGCGTCCCACGCCGGGGGTTTCACCAGAGCAGCGCGATCGGGCCGAGAAAACGAAAAGGGAAAATGGCTCCAGTCGAGCGAGCCACGTCTATTCACGGCTGTTTAACATACCTCTGCTAATAAGAATGCACTAAATAATGTGCATTTTTAAGCTGGCCCAGCGCACAATGGCCCATCCCTGGCCCAAAAAGGTAAACAATGGGCGTTAAAAATAGCCTGGCCGTGTTTACATTTCCCCCTGAGCCTTTTCGGTTTACAGTTCATCATTCCAGGGGTTAGAATTCTAAAATTTTCTCTGTGTATTTACACAACTGAACTATTGCCATGTATCACGGCGGCCACCAGGCCCTTCCAAGAAAGTGAGTTTTTATCTCGATTCCCACAGGGCAGGGGTTGGGGTCAGGTGGGCGAGCTGTGTGGCACTCCCGTGGCCCCGCAAGGGCCACTCTGCCTCCTGGGGCGGGAGACGGGCCCCCAGCCCACAGGTGAGCCCTCCTCCGCGGGGACAAGAGGCCCCGCTGGCGCCCGGCTCCCGGTCTCTCAGTCCCCCTGAAAGGGGATGAGTCCTGACGACACTGGCAGGTCACCTTCCTCCCGGGCTGCTGGGAGCAAGGGCACTGGGATCCTCTGCTCGTAGCACGTTGGGTGGGGGACAGGGAGGCCTGGGCTGGGCCGGAGACATTTCCCTGTGGTTTCGCTGCTACCAGGAGTTTCCGCCCAGAGCAGGGCACGCGGCGCCAATCCCAGCAGGCCCGGGCGGATCGGAGGGGCCGGCACCCCCCGCCACGATGCAGGCTCCTTTCATGTGGATGTGGCCTGTCTCCTGTCCCCACGGGGTGGCTCGGTCTGTCTTCACCAGAGGCTGGTGGCTTGTGGAGTGTTGCCTTGGCAGGTGACTCGGGGGTCCCCGGCGCAGGAGGGCTCCCAGCACCCGCCTGGCTCTTCCTTGCTGTGCAGAAAGTGTGAGATGACCTTTCGAAATGCCAACGCAGGCGGCCCCTGTCCTGCCAGTGCTGTGCTGGGGCTGGGGAGCCCCTTACACGAGCCACCTGTTTAAGGCAGTTCTGCTCAGCATTTACCCGGTTAGTTTGCGGTGTCCTGGGCGTGAGGTTTGGACAGACCCAGGAGGGGCCTCCCCGTGGCTCTCCCCCGCGCTCGCCTGGTGCCCGCGTCTCTGGCAGACGCTGAACTGTCCAGACCTGGCCTTCTGACCGTGTACAGGCTGGAGGGTGGCACCTGGGACCCCAGCCCAGCGCTGGGGGGCAGGATGTGGGTCAGAAGCCCCTGCCTGCCCCCCGCCCCCGTGGGGTTTCTCGGCCTCCCTTCTGTAACAGGATTTCTCCTGTCCGGGGGTCAGTTCTCTCTTCACCCAGAGTCCAAGCTCGTCCTCGGCTGGGGTTCACCGTCAGCCGGCACTTGCCCTGTGACCCGCGGCCTCCCTGGCCCGGGGGTGGGGTCCGAGCGCGCTCCCTGGACGGGCCACCCAGGGACTCGCCCCACGTGGAGCTGCGCGCGCTCCCCCGCCCTCGCCCAGGGGCGCCCTC